ATGTGTAGACATTGAGTTTATGAGTGACCAATTTTTATAATGACATCTACATGGTGTAAAGCAAACAGGTGTAGGGCGACAGAAAAAGAAGAATAGAACTCATTTAAAGTTTGATAAAACTGCATCCTAGTGACTGTTCAGTTGCAAAAACTTTGACCAACTTCCAAAAGAGGTTTTATGAGAAAAGAAGGCTTTTAATGAACTGGAGAGACAATCAGGAAGGGTTGTATCATGGCTGCTAATACATATGGCTTGTTCAATGGAATAGGATGTGTTTTGGGGAAGCAGACAGCTAAATGGTCAACATATTCAACCAGGTGGATTTCATTGGTTCCTATCTGCGGCCATTCTCAATAGCTCTACAGCAGGAGGGCAGTTTCCCTTCATTCTTAATTATTTGATGTTTGTGACACCTAGAAATGCCTTCTGATTGGATACAAGACTTTTCTACCAAGTCGTAGAATAAACACTAGAATGATAACACCTGTCTAATGCTTTTGTTTATATCGTAAATGCTTACAAATTACCTTTTTAGACATCTTTACAACTGTACACCTCTGTAGTTTTTTTCTCTTTTGTCAGACCAGTAACCTTTAAAGAAAGTGATGGAATGTGAGACAGCCTGTCTTGCATTGATTTTTCAAAAATATAACTATTTCTCATTTGTGTTATTCCTTAATGTGTGACATCTTCTACTGTACCTTACTAGCATTGTTGACAGGAAAACAAGAAAAATCACATATTTTGAAATTTGTAGCTCATTCACTGCAAAAATCAATCAGTTCTAATACACTGCATCCATTGGTAATTAATAATTTTCTTCTTTTTGTATGTTTTTTAGGGGCAAAGAACAACAGACACACCAGTGGAGCTAAAGCAGCTGGAGGCTGAACCCCAGTAGTATTCAAGGATCAATTATTTGACTCATATAAAAGAAAGGTGAGGTTCTGCTAAGAGATAATAATAGTATTATTATCTAAAAAATAAACAATATTTATACAAAATATTTAAAGTGCATATAAATAGGCAGTCTATGTCAAAGAGATACAAAAAAAGTAAAAATTTAATAAAATATAACAGACTTAAATACACAAGATACAAAATCATATAAACCTTTGGAAATTTGTCTTTGTTTGATGACCTGCTATATTTACATCATTACACGATCTAAAGAAAAAATTGGCTCAAGTGAAAACCTTAAGGAAATTTCCCAGCGGAGAGATTTGGTTTAAGTATGACAAAATTTCCCAGTGATTTGCTTTATTCCGCATGCTTGAGATTTCACATCACTTAAAAAAAAAAAAAGTCAATTACCTTCTTGTATGTGGCAGACAGTTTCCCTACCCAATACTGACTACCGGTACTCTGTAAGGATGATTTTTGAACAACTGAGTCTAACTTCAGTCATGTCTAAGACAAATTCAAAGATTTTTAGCACAATCCTATCTCATAGTTTAAACTTCCATTCTGTTTGTTAGGGCAGACCTTTCACAGTTGTTTATGTTTTGTGTTGAAAGCCATTGGCAGATTGTGAATTTGTATGAAGTCTTTTTCCAGGTTGGATTTGAAGTGAAGAAGTGTTTGCCAAACCAACCATTGTAAACTAGTTCACTAAAGATGTCACATCCCCATTTGCCTTCAATCACAAGCATGGCCAGACTTTTGTCGTGGGTCAAGACTTGGTCACTGAAGTCTCCAATCACTTTCACACGTCTTGAAAAGGCTTTTGAAGTTTACACATAACATCTGGCTAAATGTGACTCAAACCTTTGCACTGAAGTGTGCAAACGTGGTAATTACCAACATGCCTCAACACATAGTTTAGATTTAAGTTACCTGTGAAGTATTCTAGAGTTGATATTAGAACACTATGCAGCTGCTATTAGCAGTGAATGTTCTTCATTCTTTTACTTTTTTAGCCAAGTATATATTGCCCTGCACATATAAACTTGCACATATATGGAAATATCAGAGGAAGGACCACATTACATGTCTCAAGTTACTGGCCAAAAAAGCCTCATGCAGGTGTTCAGCTTATTAATGTAGTATGTCTTATCTTAGTGCTAAAAGCAAAAGTTTAGAAGAGAGTACCCCCCTTAATTACTGGCTTATTAGGGTGGTCTTTATCTGTTCATTAAAAGTCAATACCCGGGTAGTATCTAGCCCTCATCAAGAAATAAATGAGCAAGGGGTTAGCTTTTTATTTAAAAACAATCAACTTTAATTGTGTTAAACATCATGCAAGTTGGTAGAATGCATGGTAAAAATACACTTAAATAAAACATAAATACATATTTAGATTCCCTCTGAGACCCATCAACCACCTCACAAAGGTCGTTACACAACAATGAAAAAGGTTTTTTTTTTACTACAGGTACACTCACTTTAAATGCTGACTTTTGTAATAGTTTTCTCTGTAGAATTACATCAACTTAAAAGTAAAAAACTCCAAAGTAAGCTGGCTTTTTTTAAACTTAAAAATAAATGTAATTTAATAACTGTGACTATGCATGAGGAGGTCAACTGCCAAACACACACACACATATAAACAGTGAAGCAATAAGACCACTTGCAGAGTCAAGAAAGTGTTCAAATTACACTACATTTACAATAAAATATTACCACACTTTATGCAGCAAGGTGGGAAACGAAATCAAAGTAAAGACCGAATACAAAAATAGTTTGTTTTACACCATCAACCAACTGCAATGAAAGGATTAATGTTCTACGAATGTAAATATGGGTTTATTAATGTCAGTAACTGTAAAAGTTCTGTGTCAAAGCCAAGCTAAGTTAATGCTGATTTCATACATACTTAAACAAAATTTAAGGAATACCTACTGAAGCTCATATTGATTTTTTTAAACAAAGTCTTAAAGCTAGCACATTATTTGAGTTCTACTAACCAGATATTAATATAAATTGATATTCTGAAAATTATTCAGGTTAATAAAATCTAAGACTTTAGAAGTTTTAAATACAGCTGAATTAAATGCACATAGTACCTTTTTAACTTCGTCCTTTGTTCTTCATTGAACCTTTCACATAGTATATTATTATAATGAAAAATCATGCACATAATTAGTACAGCATTCTGCATATATTTACATAAACATGATGTTTTTTGCTTTTATACTATGGAGTTTTGCAGGGATTTGTGTTTGGGCAAATAGTTTTATGAATAATTAAACAAAATAAATTTTTACTTGTATTTCATGTTGCCTTAATTTGTGTATTATACTAATGAAACCATCAAATGTTTTTTTTAAGGCTCATACCTAAAAGGTTGAATAGATCTAACTTTCTTTTTTACTCGTTTTCCTGTAAACAATATAAACATTTATTTTTTGCAAACTGTAGCTGATGAGAGCCAAAAATAAAAAGAAAATTTTCAGAATTTTACAAGACATTAACTAAAAATAATATTATTGGTTTAAAGTAAGTGTTTAACCTTCCCTTTCCAAGTCACTTTTTTCATCAAATTGAAGGCTTATTATTTCCATTCTCAAACCATCAATCAAATTAATATATCTTCTATGTCTGCTATTCCACTTAAAACCTAAATGTACTTTACAGTTGTGGATCTATGTATTCGCTTTAAGTTATAACAAAAGTAAAACTTTTAAATGATATACATTAAAGAAATTAGCTAATTTGATGTTTAAAAATACAACTTTCAATTAGTTATTTACAAGATAGAAAGCATACAAAAATCTGACTATTACATTTGATGACAGTAACTGTTTCTTGTATTGTCTCAAAAGAAAAAGGATAGGTTATTTGTTTTTCTACCTATATACGAGTCTTTTCTAGAGTGAAAGTTTGTTAAGAAAAAAATCTTATGAAGACATTATCTGCATAAAATGCTTCAAAATACAAAAATTAATGATACTAGAGGCTTAAAAATACTAATAAGAGTTTGGCATTGAAATTATTGTGGTGAATATCATGAGATATTTTGTGATCCTTGGGTCTAAAAACTTAAAGGTATTTAAATAGTAGTGGCTCTAATGTGAAATGCCATATAGCAACATGACACAATATTCAGTTGGGAAGCTTTGTGTCACACCCAACTAAACAATGGATCAGATTGGATGCAAAACATATAGCACTAGTATTCAAGTAGCCGCATGCAAATGAACAATGGCCTTCTTAATCAACCACTTCAAAAACGTAAAATAACTGTCTTAAACCTCTGTCTATGGGTCTTACATATGATCTGTGTCCTTGTAAAGCATCAAAGACAGGTCCAAAGTTGAGGGTCAATTACAACCTGTAGGTTGTAATTGACCAACATGTCTGTGCCAGGCAGCAGGGTACTTCTGTGAAGGTCCTGATTCGAATTTGTCACATCCGCTTTGGCTGCACATCCACAGTGTTCACTAACTTCAGCTATAGTTTGTCTTTTTGTGTATGTTCTGAGATTTTACAGTTTTTACCCCCCCAAAAAATTGAAACAGAGAACTTTCCATCTTTCTGTCAGTATGTTGAGGTTTCAGATCTTAATCTGTGGTTCAAAGAAAGGTTCAGTCCACAGCAATAAAAGTCTTTAATCCATTGAACCATCAGCAGTCTTTTCGCAGAAGGCTTGCGTTAGTTTAGATTATACATTCAGTGTTGCAGTTGACTGAAAATTCAGTTCATGTGTGAGGAGGATGTGATCATTATATGGAAAAGCTGACTCTGTGAATAGATTATGTGAAATTAATGTGAAAGTGGTGCAGGAGTGTTTAAGAGATGTATCAAAATACATCAACAAAGGATAGAAGCACATGAAACAAGATGGTACCCAAATGAAACAAACATTTTGTAATAGAATTTATCTCAGGGAAAAGCAATGCTTGGTAAATCTCAATAAACAAACCAACCTGATCACTCGAACATAAGCATCTTGTTGATGTTTAAGTCGACTGACAGCCATGTCCAAGTCCTTCACGTGACCTTGCATGCCTCGATCAAATACTCAAATGAATAAGTTTAGATATTTTGCTTGGTTTTTCCCTTAAAATTTAAACATTCAATTTATTTTATTGGACAAAAAAAATCCTCCAAATTCTCATAATTTTACTGATTGTAGCAGTCTTCTCGTTGGCTTCCAAAGCCATCCTAACCCAGGTTTAGAAGCTGGATCTATTTTCCACCTTTATTGCAATCCATTAACATTTAGAATGTCTTTTGTTACTCTTCCTGTCCTCTCAGATCTCGTGGCGTCCTGTTGCGTTCTCCAGAACCCTTGCTGCGTGCCTTCCTGGCACTCTCCTGTGCTTGGCGGTATTTCTCCAGCATACTCTTGTGTTTCCTCCGGAGCTTGTCGTTGCACCACATTCTCTCACAGTACTCCTCAACATGAGGTAGATTTGATGGACCAATGAGCTGCATGATGTCCTTGAACCATGTGCGAGACTGGCTGATTTGACCCCTGCTGTAAGTGCTGCAAGGCATCCAGGGTCTGTGGCTTCCTGGAGACCGGTCTTTGAGCATGTCCGATATGCCTTGGCCGTCCCGTGCTATAAGCTCATCTACGCTGTCCCCCTGGAGGACCTGAAGGGTGATGCGGGCCAAGCTTTGTGTAAAGCCATGCTCCCGAGAGCGGCAGATGTACACACCTTCATCCTGACGAAAGAGGCGACGAAACAAAAGACCCTGATCTGTTGACATAACACGATCATCCAGTTTCACCTAAAGGAGACAGAGAGATAATATTTGTACCTAGATGAAACATTTATACATTGAAATTGATTGAACTTTAGATACACAAAGAGAAAACCCTTTGTAAAACCATGTTGTTTGATGCCAGTGTGTTTTTACTAGGTTTTTTAAATGCTTTACTAGAGGGGAAAAGGACTGCTTGGACACAATATTTGATAGGATGTAATCATTCAATGCCAAACATTTATGCTCTATACCAGGAATGCCCAAAGTTGATCCTTGAAGGCAGTTGTCCTGTAGGCTCCAGTGAAGCTGATTTTCATTGATAGTTGATTAACAGGCTTTTGCTGAACTGCAATCATCAAAATCAGCTGTGCTAAAGCAGGGAAACCTCTAAAACCTGCAGGACAGCGGGCATCAAGGACCGATTTTGGGCATGCCTGCTCTATACAAACAAATATATGAAGGTTTTTGGAAGGTCTCCCATTGCCCCTAAAATCCACCACTGATGTGTTTTTTACTTATTTATTTGCTGAGATACAAACAATTATGCGTGCAAAATTTCAAACACTAAAATACCAAGGTTTCTCAAATGCGCATTGCTTTTAAGTTATAGCCAAGTTGCCTTCACAATAGAAGAAACCCATATCAAACCAGCTGCTTCTAAATGCACAGTTTTAAGCCAAGTGGAACATTTCTCATTAAAATATGCTGTGATCCCTACAAATAGTTCAAGTTGAAGGCCTGCCAATCTTGCACAATGTTTACTTTGTTCAAGAACTTACAGAAGCGAGAAAAAAAAAGCAGGCATCATTTGACAAGTGTCACTTGAAGCTAACATATGAAAAGGTTTGCGTTACAATGCAGGTACAAAGTCACACTCTTGAGCAGAGAAAAGAGAAAATCGGTTTTATGGTAGGCAACAGAAAGAGTCTACTGAAATAATTTTCTCAGCACAACCTGTGGTAATAAAATCTTATGAAGAAATCCAGAGGTTTTTCCCTTTTTGTTTTATCCTAGTGTCTCTTTATTTCTTGCATATAAAGTCTTACTCTCTCTGCTTCCTGTACCTATTCCATGCTTCCTACCTCCCACATTTTCATATTTTATCCTTTAATTTCTCCAGCAACACCCAGACGCCAACCCAAACATGTAACCTTGTCAGCTAGTGGCAGCCAAATGTTTATTTACAAGGAATCTGAGAGGTGTGGTAATGCCTTAAAACTTGACTCAGACATTTCCTTGAGCTCGGCAAAACAGAACCTCAGATGAACAATCTCTGTGGGTGCGCATGCACATAGCAACGTTGCTTTCTAAATACAGGCTTAGAGGTCTTTACAGCTTTGTGTTTAAGTCATGGTGGCCAGTAGACATTTAAGTGACATTTGATCTGTTGGCACCATGTGGCAGTGGAGGAGTGGAGCTTTTAAGGGAATTCACTGTTTATTCAATAGACGAGGCAACTGAGCATTTTGCTTTGAAATATAACTGCTTAATTTGTACCATATGTCTAATGACTGTCAAATGTGTCAGCTGTACGCTGCCAAAAAGACTAATTTCACTTTTATAGGCAGTCTGTCAAACTACACAAAGGTATCCCGCCTCCCTTCAACACTTTTTTTCTTCACCATCATCACACATGCAGTTCATTATAAACACAGCTGATATGGTATTTTTATATGATTATTATTATGACTATTTGATTATTTGTAGACATCATCTCACCTCTTCCTTGCGGTCGTTGCGTTGGACAAGCCAGGTGATGGAAGCTTGCGGCGAGCGAGGGATACACTCTAGAAAGGTGCTGTTTTTTTCTGTTCCATATACGACTTTATCTTCAGTCACATCCAGGTCTCCTTAATGAAGGAAAATGGAGAAGACATTAGAGAAGTGAGAGACAATCACAAAGAAAGATAGAAATACAAAATTTTAGCTTAATTATGAAGAACTAAACTACAAATAATACATTTTTCTTTACAGTTGATTTTGCTCACATCATAGCCATCTTGCTTTATGATGGAGTATTTAAAAACATAATATTTTAGTCTTGAAATAATAAAATAGAAGAACATTGATCACTGTGACATCTTTCCAGCTTTAAGTTGCTCCTGTTCTGAATAATGAATGTGTATTAGGATCAAAAGTGAGGAATTTCCAGTGTTCACTTGTGTCCTGAATGCCTCTTTATGTTTTGACTGTTTTAATGTTTAATGTTTCTGTTCAATGAGATATTACTCTGATTATTATTACTATAGTTATTTGAGTTAATCAGAAAGTAGGTCAGGTACATTTTGGTCTTTTAAGCTGCAGTCCTTACTCTATGAGGCAACGTTTTTCAGCAGGCTACCAAAAAAATCCATTAGAACCTAGCTTATATGGTAAACAAAGTTATTTATCCCTCTTTGGTTAATGCCTAATAAGGAGGTGTCAGAATGTTATTTTCCTATGACATTGTCTCTTCCTCAGTCAATGTAAAGTAAGGAATATGTAACAGCATGAAGAATGATCCGGCTAAATACGTGTTGGAGAGAGTACATATTGTTTTAGGAAAATGACAAATCAAATTAGAACGCAAACTACAGTGTCTGCAGTCTGGAATGCTAGAGAAAGATCACTGCTGACAGATGCCCATACACCCAGCCTGAGGGAAGTTATTTTCTGGTAAACAATTCTTAACAACTTCTAAGCATATTTGAAAAGCAGCATCTCCCAAAAAACTGGTTTACTGTACCTCCGACTCTGCTATGAAAGCTCCAAATGTATCAACCATCTGTCTATCCCCTGACACATACATACACAACACGTAAAGCAAAATAGAAAAAAAAAAAAAAAAAAGCTTTTTCAGTGTTATGAAAACAGTACAGGTCTGGAACTTATTCGTTGTATTTCCCATTCAACCTTAAAAGCTGCACTGACCGATTATCCACCATCTTCACTCAGAGCTTCAAACATTTTCTGGAGCTGGCAAAGGTTCCTTCATCTTTCAAAAGCTTAACCATCATCCTGGACCTCAACAAAAATTCTCCACCACCTGTTGGACCCTCTTGTAGATGGCTTACCAGGGTAAATGGTCAGGAGTTAAGGCAATAAGCCAGGTACTACACTGTATCCTGTACCAACTTGACCACCCAGGGGTGTGGCATGTTTCTCGACTTTAGCTGGACCACAATTAACTCAGGCATCCACCACCACAAGTTGACCCAGCTGCGAGTGCCAGCCTTCACCTGTCAATGAGCATTCAGCTTCCTGACCGACCAGCAGCATAAAAATCCCCCCTTAGGGGTGTCTTCGCCCCACACCCCCTCCTCTGTACAAAAATAGCACCTCAGCCTGCCACTCTGTGAAACTACATAAGTGTGCAGATGACAGCTTGTACCAGATAGCTTAACCGCCATACACAAAAGAAAAGAGACATTATTATTTATCAGCTAAATCCTACGGTGCATGTACTTTGTAGCTTGTAATCAGTTTTTAATCCAACACTACCAACCTTTGCCTTTTTCTTTTTTTTATGGGGGGTAGAGACATCAGTGCAATAAAGGGTTTGCGTGAAAGCCAAAATCAGTGGATCATAAGCATGCTTGAACAGGAATTTGTCCTGCTGTAGAGTTTAGTTTATTTTCCAGAGTACAAGGAAAATGTGCAACATCCTCTCTGCAACCTTTCCTACCATTACTGCATTAAAGAGATTTTATGGGAAGGCTTACAAGGCTTATAAGTGAAATATTCCTGTGCCTAATGAGTGGTCTTTACTCAAACTGCTGTTTACACAAGTTGGAAAACACATTCCTAAACACATCAAGTTCATCCTAAGAAATATAAAACAGACTGTGGTATTCATTTTCAAAAACAACTAAACAATTTATACTGGTGGAAGAGGAAAAGCTGAAAGATACAAGTATGTTTAGAACCACAGACGTTGTTGATAGCACAGTTAAACTGCAAAAATGGAGTCTCTAGAAAAATGTAAAAACACTAACCCTCTGAGAAAAGGTGATAAAGACACTTGAAGTAATCTGTCCATGTAGTGTAATTATTTTAAGTAACCAAACTTCTGAAATTAAGGTTATACTGTTAAATTGAACAAATTAAATAAGAAATTAACTCTTAAAAATGATACATTTTTAAATAAAATAACCTGGACATGAAAAGTTTCTTCCAGGTATACCATAACCTCAAATTTACTCACAAATTGGTCAGATTTTAAATTATTTTCATTAAGTAAATACTTTTTCTCTCTGATAAGAAATTACAGGCATTATCAAGGAGTATTGATTAGTAAATAGATTATATTTACATTAAATTTACGACCTCAGAAATACACATGCAGCAGTGTTTACCTTTACAAATAATCAGTATTGATTTGCATTTTTTCTGACCCAGCGTTTTGTATCTTTCCATTGTTATTTAACAGTTAAACTTTGGGATGAAATTCAAGCCTGTGAGGCAGAAGTGCCAAATTCTTTGCTTTCTCTGGCAGATTCAAGTCAGACATCTCATGGGCCATTATATTATTTAAGTACTGCTTAAAGCCAAGAGAAAAATATGACAAATGATAAAAAAAAAAAACACTTATAAACCTTAATCTTAAAATAAACTAAAATATTTTAGGCTGGTTTGGGGGGAATTAAATTTGTTTATTGTCCCACAATGGGGAAATTCTGTATTAGACCCATCCCCTTGGGGAGCAGTGGGCTGCCATTGTGTGGCGCCTTGGGAGCAGTGTGGGGTTAAGGGTTTTGCTTAGGAGCTCAGAGTGGAGGCTGTTGGGATCGAACCGCGTACTTGCAACCTTCTCAGAGCACAAGCGCACTGCTCTAATCACTAGGCCAACACTCCCCCCTAATTATTCTCATTGTTTAGCTTAAAAATAGACTTTAAAACTGATATTTTTCTGCAAAAAACTATCAGTCTGTCTTTCTATCACTGAAAAAATATATATAACCGGCAGTAACACTATAAGATTTTAAGGATAGAAATATATACTTCAGTATGTCATTGAAATAAGAACCACAGAGAAAGAAAGCATAGCGAAAATGCATTAAGAAGATATAGTTACCGCTAACATTCTGATCCACGCACTGTAGCACGGCGTTTCCGTGTTTGACATCCTGCCTGCGGAAGCGACGTTTGCTGTTTGGGACAAATCGTGCACAGGACGATCCATCCCATGCACAGTAAGGATCTCTGGCAAGGCAGCACTCAGCACAAGCTTTCCCATAGGTCTCACAGCGATGCAGCTTCACCTGTACCATTCCTGCTGGCGAGCCCACATATAAGGCTTGCTGCGTGAATTAGAGGAGTGACGATATGAGAACAGTTTTTCCAGGCGGACAGAGGTAGCATTTTTATATATTACAAGTATGGAAATAGTATTAACTTACCCTTTTAACAGATATATCCATTGATGTAATTGGGGTTGGTACCTGAAATAACATTTATTTATAAATAAATGTACAGGGAAAAATTTATGATTTTAAATAATTTAATATATTTTAAGGGCAACGGGCATCATTGTCTTTTCGTAACCATATTTCATACACACTTAATGCAATTTTTTTTTTTACAACAGTCTTATAGGCGATTGCATAAAATGGTTGTCAAAGTGAAATAAAAAAGGTATGAAAAATGTTATCTCAAACACATTTTAATAGCAGATTTGATAAAAGAAAAATTTTTTTTTTTTATTTTAATTATCATTGTATTATTGTAAAGTTAAATCTTACTTTAAAGACTTGTAGCTCCTCTAATGTGACCTCCTCTGCCTCCAGACTGTTTCCACTATGGAGTGAAATGACCTTCAAGACTGTGCCAACATCTTCAAGGAAGACAGACAAATACATTATAACCGTGTTCATATAACTGATAAAAAAGGTTGAAATCCAACATTTTTTCCCCATATATGACCCATTCTGAGACAGTGAACAGAGAAAAATCCTATTTTAGTTCATTTTTATATCTGATTCTGAATCATTTTTCTCATGTGACCTCAGTCTAAACCTTTATGTACTTGAATACGGTTCAACAGTTGTCACCAGAGGAACCAAAATAAGCATGGTAGACACCCTTGTTGAAGCCAGTCATATATTTTGTAACTTTTACACATCAACTTGATTAAATATAAGGACACATTTTGACAAATTATGGAGGTTTACTATCCATATTTGCTTCTGTAAACACGGCACTGTGCATTTGAGGACACATCTCTTTCATTGCATGCCGATGAACTGAGGACTATCAGCTGTTTACACTCTGGAAATAGCCTGATATTCAGATAAGTATCTGGAATGATAACAACTTAAAACAAAATAAAAAAGTCAGTTTATCACCTAAAAGTCTCTGACCCTTTGTGTTACCTGTAAAAAATTCTAAATGAGAATGACTTTATATGACATGCGCCTACCTGTACCAATGAACATGACATCATACTGCCCATCCTCTGCCTCAACTCTGTCAACCACGATTTGTTTCAGCTTGTAGGGAATGTTGGCCTTCACAAGCACAGGCTGGCGACGAGCTGGGAGCACGGATCGCCACATCAGTGGGTGGCTGCGGGCAAACTGCAGCACTGAGTCTGGGAAGTCCTTTGTGCTCCCGAACTCTTTGCCAGGTTGGTTGGTTATTTTACTGGGACACTGGCAAAATGAGAAGAAAAACAAACACAAAATGAACTTAAGGAGAGAAAACTGGTTGTGTTATTCAGCTCTAACTGACCGACTAAAAGTCTGCTGCCAGTGAGAAAAAGGGACATGTTAAACAAACTAAACAGATGGAAGAAATTAAAATACTTTCTTCTCTAATTCCAAATTCCCGCAATTTTACACCAAACTGTCGGTGTGTTTTCCAAACAAACTGCAGTCTAATTATGGTCTTAAATTTTACTCAGAACCTTCATTACGAGTGAAAACTGGTTAAAAGTTCATGACAACTATTATGATTTTAGGAGCTTTGTGGAAGCTCCAACATATGCCACACTAGAAATAAAAGATTTAATGAGTAACTGGCAGAGATACTGTACCACTGGATTAATTGAGAAGAGTAAAATTGCACCAAATGCTAGCATTTGCACAAACTATCTGAGGGCTAAGTTTGCATATAATTGCATTCCTTAAGGCAGCAGCCAGTTCTTGTCAAGCAGACCTACATTTTTATTAATCTACCAAACTATTGGTTTGCATATGTTTAAAATAAGGTGTAAGAATAATGCCAAAATGGCAAATAGCCAGTGTAGTTCTTTCTACGGATGGAAAAAACCATTAAGGGTTATGCATTATTTGTCTTTTTCTAAAGTTTCACTCTATAGAGTACTGCAGGACAGGCCCATGGGAAAAAGGCAAGCTAACCAAGCAATTGCCTAAGGCCCCAAGCTGGCCTGGGCCCCCCAGACATAGGCTGACCTGGTTATGAACTGCATCTATTGACTATTTGATGTTACTCAAAGCTGCTCACTAAAGAACATCTATGCAGCGCTTAAATGGAATCCAACATGAAATGTAAATCAGTTAGACCAATAAATTTTTTTCAGTATCATTTTGAATCCATGTATCATTCGTTTTACAACCTGAAATAACTGTCACCGAATTTCATTACATAATATGGAGAAACGGAGCACAGTTTCTGCCATACAACATTAAATATAGAACAGTAATAATAATAAAAAAAAGGTAATAGATTCGTCATTATTTTATTTTGTTTGGGTAGATTATAGTATCTCAGCCTGCTGGATGTGCCAGGCACTTCTATTGATTAAACAGGATTTAACTCTTATATATATATGAGCTAGCTTCTTTTGAATGGCAGTCTGATATAGCCCTTGCAAATCAGTTTTACCATAAAGATTAATGCATGTAAGAGTTGGAATCTGCTGTAGTCTGTTAATAAGCAATGTAAGTTGCTATATGTATGTATATATATATATATATATATATATATATATATATATATATATATATATATATATATATATATATATATATGTGTGTGTGTGTGTGTGTATTTGTTTGTTTGTAGGAAAAATTGGTGAGCAGACATTTAGTGATTGTAACAGCAGAAAAACACAATGATACCATTATCGGAATACGCCTCAATGGGCATAACCCTTCAAGTAAATTTTGCTTGGGGCCCCCAGATTCCTCGAAACGGCCCTGTTGCTGCATCTGTACCTCATCTGCAGAAATTCTATCTTTTGGAAGGCATAAACAATAATTTTTTTGACCCACTACTTTTCTATTTCAGTCAGACTGTGGATTCGTTCAAATTAGTTGCTTATTAGCTTTACTTGGTCAATCGTATTTATTGATTTAAACAAAAAACACTTTACAACTCAGACAAGGAGCCTCACTCCATCAAAAAGCTCTTAAAGCCTTTCTAGGGTTAAAATGTTCTCACATAAATTTCTGTTTAATAATCTAAAAATTTACTTCAGCAAAATTCTGCAGAAGCTTAAAAACTGTGAGAAAATGCTCTATCTTGTTAATCTCATTTGGCCAATTTGAAGTGAGACTGATATCAACATGCTGCTCTAAACTGAATGTTTTCTTTCCTTCTTTTTAATATCTAACTTTACTCTTTTCCTCCCAAAATGAGGCCAAGACATTCCTGTGAATCAGATAGTCCACCACCACAGAGGTGTGCACTCGGTTCCCACATTATTCATCATCTTCCTCGCTCATTCACTCTTGTAATGAAGCAGAGCAGCACATGGGACATCATTTCACGTTTGCGTGCCCATGTACACACAAGTGTTTATGTTTTTAATCAAGCTGTGTAACAGCCATTTGGATGAGAGATTGACACAAGAGCAAAGACGTAAACCCGTAAAGCATAAAGTTAAAACAGCTGCACTTCCAATTACAGTAGTTTACATTACTGATAGGGATATTTTCAACACCTCATCTATAATGTTTTTATACCCCCTTTCAATCCCATACTTTTCTTTCTTAGTTTTCTTACATACTATGAACTTCATAAACTATTCCTATAGTTTTAGGCTACCAGCACTTAGCTCCCTTAGAAAAACATTTTCTTAAAAGAATGAATAGCTTTGGATAGAACTATAGATCCATTAAAATCTTTTAGGATTCCTTTAAACCAGTAGATAATCCAAAGTGGCTTGGCAGATGTTTGAACGGGGAGGCTGTTTAACTTCAATGGAGTATGCTTTTATGCGTTTTAAATGCTCTTATTTGGAGCAATTCTTGCTATCTAGTGATCATTAAAAAAAAGGTTAACCAGCACCATAAAAGGCTGCTGTTGAAAACTAATAAAACAGCTACATTTTTTTAGTAAAACTGTTTACTGAATTAGAAAACAACAGGAAAACCTTTGCTCTCCGTAATTGAATGCATTACACAGAATAATAAATTTCAATGAATGTCATACTTTTGAACTCCAAACTTGAAATGGCTTTAAAGTTCTTTTAATTTGGATTTATGGACATTGTGGTGCCTTCAGTTTGTTGGAGCACTGGATTGTTTTAAAACAAGCTCCAACTTTCCTCTTGGTAATCAAACAAAACATCAAAGTGTTTACATTGATTGCACTGACCACTTTCTCTGAGATGCAAATATCCCTCTCTGTAAATACAGATGTAAAACTTTATTTTTTACATGTTTAGATTACGGAGATTATCAACGTAAATCCAGGGCTACGTAAGTCGCATACAACAGCATAAAAGCATATGTAGGGAAATAATGCTGAGAAGCCCTACCGTGTACATTAAACATGTAGATTGATGGATAAAAGTGTTTTATTTAGTGCTATAACACTTATAAATATGAGTAAACATTATATTAAAGGATAAATAGCTGGTAATCTATCACTTACAACTCCTGGTCTTGGATAAGGCATCCTGCCTTCATAGGCGCCCCATTGGTAGTTAGGACCCTCTTTATGGGCAAAGGGTCCATTGAAAGCTTCCCTGATGTCAGCCATATGGTAAACACATACAGCAAAACCCTGGAAGACATTACTGTGGAAAAAGATGGAAACTGTAGATGACTTATGCATGCTGTGTGGTTACTTTCTGAGTACAATTCTACTGTACATCAGGCAAATCTGCATCAGCAAAAAACTGTGTAAAAAATGAAAAGAATACATGGCTAACGTCACATGCACAATATCAAAACATCCAGATTTAACTAAACATACAAATGCATTAAAAACATTAACTCAAAGGGAACTCTGGCAATTAGCTGAAGCAGTTTTTCCAAACTTTTGTTCATCCTTGAATTAAAATGGGACCTTTTGTAACATACAGACAATCAACAAAGGGGTACATATATATATATTATAAAAGGGCATAAAAATAGTTCAGTTTACAGCAGCCACTCATCCCACAGTTGTGTTTTGAAGGTGTGGGAAGTCTCATCCTCTAACAAAGTTATAATAAAGCACTGATAGATTCTCATCAGTAGTAAGATATCCACTATCCTTGCAGGAACCCTCCCTAAACCTACAAGTTGGTTAATATAACTAATCTGTTTCAAATAGTGTGGTACATGGAAAGATGTTGACAGGCATTATATGCACTACGTGTAGCTTTAGTACCAAATATTCTGGCCACCTCTAGGGGGAAGTGTAGGGCACATACTGCAAGCTTAGATATAAGTGTAAGGATGAATTGCATTGTGCACCATTCTGCATTACTGTATCTTTTTCACCCTTGAACTTCTACACATTTGAGCAGTCTCTCATTATGCCAGATCTTTTGGTCTTTTTATAAGGTCAGACTGTTTGTTCACCTGTGAAAACTCTTATAAGTATACACTAAGAGCATAAATTACTACAATACATAGGTGAAGAAAGTAAAAAGGTTTCTGAGTTACCTGATGGCTATCTGATTATTGCAAAACACATTTTGCTGCAGATGTTTACCTGATAGTGCTGAAAACTGCATAGATGTCTGGGTTTCTCACATCTTTGGTCTGCAGCAGGAAAACATCCTCTGTTTCAAATTAGAAAAGTTATGTGTGTAATGTGAGTTTGATTTAATTTCACCACAAAATACAATTAGCTTTCTCAAACAAAGTTTCTTGTTTATGGAAGGAAATGTTCCACTGAAAGGTTTTAAAGGTGTCCATGTTTCGTTTTTGTGTCATTTAATTGTTTCTGTTTATCTCACCAAGCTGGTCGAAGTGCGTGTCGATGCCATGAGGTCCAGGTACAGAACAGACCAATCTGGCTTTTATGAACGTGCTCCACTTATTGACAAGAACTCTTTGTCCTCCAACATCATTCTAGTAGAAAAAGAAGATAAACAACCAAATAAACACACTTGGGTATTTACTTCTAGACAAACATTTTTTTTTCTTTTTCCTCTTTGCTGCAACACACTGGTCTTTTATTTCAAGAATGACAAATATGGACTCAAATTTTAGTTATATGTCGGTGTTCTTTATGGAGGCAAAGCAGGGTTTTTAACTTCTGATTAAAAAAAACAAAAACAAAACTGATTTGTCTCACTCACACACTGTGAGTGTGAGTGAGTGAGTGAGTG